GACGATTAGCCCCGGGCTGGCGCCCAGCTAATGAAGGCACTGCCGGGGGGGCTGTCTGACAAATCGTCTAATCCCCGCCCAGCCAAGAGGGCGTCGCCGCGTCTCGGCGGCAGCCGGCCCCAACCTAGTTAGAGAAGACAAATAAAAAGTTTGGGTTAAAAAAAAGAGGAGTGGGCGTGGGTGGGATAGAGGTGCGGATACGGATGTGGGTCAGCCGGTCTGAGGCAGCGGTGGTCTAATGTTCAGGGTGTCCCATGGGCGCCTATACTTTTTGTTTGGTTGTATACACTGTGCGGTTACCGATTGGCCCTGTACTTTCTTTGTTGTTTGCAGGCTCAACATACACCTGGTTCACCCCGTACCCGTGCAATGATTTAGTGTCCTGCTGTGTGTGTTTTGATTACGTTTTTTGATGTGCAAACTGTTTCTTTGGTCTACAGGGAGGCGCTGGTCGGTGCGTGCCATAGGCGGGGCATCAGTTTGAGCAGCGTGAGCGTGTTCCTTGACCGCGTGGAGCTGAGCCTGCACGCCGAGAGCACCGTGCTCGCCGGCAAGCAGCTCAGAATCAGACGTAAGTATTTCCCTCAATAATAAAAACAAATATTTTATAAAACACCTATTGTTTGGGGGGTCAATACTGCTGCCACTTTACTCCTGGTTACGTGAGAAAAAGTCACCCCGCACTTTCTGTTTGCAGCCAAGCAGGATGGCAAGTCATCCCGAGCCCTCACTCGGGCGGCAACTTCGCAGCAGCCGCAGCTGCGGAAGTCCTCATCGGTGAGTCATAATGTGCCCATAGCTCTCTTGACTCGGTGTGGCTCATTCGCGGAGAGGCGTTCTCCCGTTCTAGCCCCGTCTAACTCCCTCTCTCGGAGAGACGTTCTCTCGTTCTAGCCCCGTCTAACTCCCACTACCGGAGGGATTGTCTCTCGGTCTAGCCCTCTCGCGGAGAGACGCTGCTGTCTTTGTTGTTTCTCATCGACCACCAACGCGTGTATGGATTTTAAAGTTCGACATTTTTCTGGGAAAATTTATTTTTTTTTCCAGAAAACATTGGAAAAAATAAACTTTTCTGGAAAAAAATTAGAGATTTTTTTAACTAATCGAGAATAGGCTACTAATTTTGGAAAATTATAATCTCCAAGTGCGTGCCTTCCTGTGTGCAGAGCGTCCGCAACAACCGCCGCTTCTTTAGCACGTCGACGGAGGACGCCAGCTTCGCCAGCCCGCAGGCCGACCTGCTGGACCCGGAGAAGGGCAAGACAGCCAAGGCGCGGCAGCGGTGGAGCCTGTTCGGCAACAACAAGGTGAGCGAAACATGTCTGGAAAAAGAAAAAAATTGCCGCTGAGGAATAGATTGTTGAAGCCATGTCATGGTGATACAACATTGATGTCCAGTATACACATACATGATGCTAGTTTATTCTATTCCACTTTTGGTGTTAAATAGTAGCATATCTGCTTAAAAGAAACAAGAAAAATTTTTGGCCAGGCAAAGTATAAACGTACTGTTATTTATGCTGTCGTCATGCAGGACACCAAGATGGGCGCTTTGTCGGAGCAGCTCGACAACTTCACCAAGTACGGCATCCCGAAGGAGCACAAGAGCACCGAGACGGATGAGAGTAAGTGCCATGAGCGCGGAAAGGGGGGAAGGGGGGAGAGAGAGAGAGAGAGAGAGAGAGAGAGAGAGAGAGAGAGAGAGAGAGAGAGAGAGAGAG